AGTGATGGGAACTTACCACTCGAAGTGCTGGTCAAATGCATCCTGGAAGAGTCACCTGGATTCCACAGAGACTAGCAGACAACTTAGCAGCTCCTAGAGACACAGGACTTTATCAAGACAAAGGGTGGCACACCTATTCCTTAAATACCTGTCCATTTAATCTCTTCATTAAATAGTTAACGCCTCCAGAAAGAATCTTGAAGCAATCGTGTCAAGGCGAAATTTAATTTTAAGTGGAAGTACAGATTCTACTAAGGTAGTTTTGCCTCTATGACAATACCTTTCCAAATAGGAGTTTAGGTCTGTGCTCTCTAGTTTATGAATATGTGAACATTTTGTTCTCTTATGTACAAGGCCCCTTGTTTCTTGATTATTTTGATTGGCCATACTGTTTAACGTATGGAAAGCGTCACCTCACTTTGTACTTTTCACATTTCCCTCAGTTTTTCCTGAAATATAATTCATCCCATTGTAACCTGACCCTAGGAATGCCAGTAAATTTCCATCAGTCCTTAAATTAGCCCAAGTCAGGTTTGCTCTGGTCCGCATGAGCAGAAGGGCCAGCTGTAACTGCTAATCAACCTCAACAGCGGATGTAGCAACAGGTGGAATGAATCAGGAGGAAAATCGTCACCCAGACCCTATTCCGAAGCAAGAGGTCCAACAAAACTATGTCACCTCCTGTTTCCCGGATGCCTTCTAGAATCTTCCCTCCCCAGTGTGCCTTTGAGGTCGCCATCTTGCTGCCCAAATCACATGTAAGCCCTGCTTCCCCATAGATTGGGGACTTGGATCTCAGGAACTTCTTCCTGGCTCCTTGCTCTACCTATTGCAATAAAATTATTTTCTCTTTCTCAAAGACTGGTGTCCAGATTATTGGGAAGTATGAGCGAGCAAGACAGAACTCACTTTTTAGGGTTTGGTGACATCATAATTGTGATGGTCTAGTTTATGTGTCAGTTTGACTAGGTTAAGCTTCCCAGTTATTCAGCCAAACACCAAGCTAGCGTAACTGTGAAGTTATTTTGTACATG